ACATGAAATATTTAAACTATTTGCACACTTAATGTGTGAGGTAATCGAAACACAATCCATTTTATGTGTTATTATAAATATATTGTTATGTATAATACATAAGTAACAAATATATTCAGACAGCACATAAATATATTAATCTGTCAATGACTTAATTTTTTTGTTTAATTTATATACAATAAGTTGTAGACTATGCGTGGGTAAACAGATAAGGATGCGAGAGGGCGAATGGAAAAATGTATGTAAAGGAATGGACGAATGAACAGATGTATCGTATGATTGACGAATGATAGGTGAGAGCGCGTGAAATTAAAGCAGAAGGCGAAAAGGAAGGGATGGATGGAGAGGAATGTGAGAGAAGCATGAGTGAGAGGAGAACGAAGGGACTTTAGGTATACATATATTACCGCAAGAAGGTTTTTGTCAAAATAAAATTCTATTTACCATAGAACACTTCCCCATCGTCAAAACAAAACGTGCAAATAAAATAATTATATAATTAACAAAACATAACAAAATTCCTTTAAATTACAATTTTATAATATAATAATTTGATTAAGTAACGTTAAACAACAATAACACTATAATACAATAGACAAATCAAACTTACATATTAGAGGGTACAATCTCGTTTTTTGTTCCAAAATGATTCTATATCCTCATACGCTTTAATAACAGGAAAATTATAATGAAGAGCCTCGCAAATACGACAGTAATGCTTCGAAATACTGCCGAAATAACCATGTTCATTAATTACTTTATAATATTTACGCCATTCGTGGTATTCAAAATATTTGTCATCATGCTGATTAAGATAATGAATGTAATTTGCTAAAGCTGTCGGATTAGCAAAATCATTAACGTGAAGAAATGAACGAGGAGGCAATAATTGTTCGCAATTTTTCTTTGGGGCACCCATTATCACCGGAATCGCTAATTTATGATAACCATGCCAAAATACTTTCTCTGTTATGTATTCTTCACAGTTTGAATTTTCGAAAGCTAGGTAGAATTTGTATGTATTTAAAGTGGAACAATCTTCATCAAAATGACCTGGGCACGCAGTCGTATTACCATTCAGACATTTTCCATATATATCAAGATCATTGCCAAGAATCAATTTTAATTCGCTAACATAGTGCCACCGCCTGTTCGTACCCGCACAATTACTACCCATTACAGTGACTAGTTTAGTTTTTAATTTTTTAATAAAATCTTTCGAAAAATTTTTATTCTGTGAATATTCAAACGATCTAGAAATTGTTCGGCCGTAAGGTACCGGCACATCACTGTCCATTCGGTAAGTCATTGACCAATTAAATAATCCATTATATTTCCATAGTTCTTGATTTCCATAAAGAAAAGTGTGCATTGGTGATTCGTCGGTTAAAAAGATCCATTTCTGGTTCCATTTGGTTCTAGTTGGTAATTCTGTCGCGCTCTGCGTCAAATGCAAATGAAACACAACCGCATCTGCTACATCTAAATCTTTCGATCGGTAACTTACTATACACCTTTTTGCTGTACAATTTTCCCAAGGTGAAAATCTAAACGGAAAAATTAAAATTGTATTTTAATATAAACTTAAAAAAATTGTATTTTATTATCACGTCATACGACATAGTCTTATGATATACTTTAATATATTTTCATTAACTTTTTATTTGTAAAACGTTTAATGTGCCTGCGTTCCAAGAACTTTCCGTGTTTCCAAACTAAAATCAAATACGATCCTCTTTTCTTATTTATTATTGGTGGTGTTGAACTTCCCTCAGAAGACAAGAGCCATCTTCCAAGTAAAGACATCTTACCAATCTAATACGAATAAAGGCGCGAATTAATAATATTATAAACGTTAATGGAAACTATGAAATTTTCTTATACCACTAATAGTTTCTGCTTACAATTAGTAATAAACAAATAATTGAAATTCATTTACTCTGATAGTGATTTGATTACATTACAAATAGCCTACCGTTAGAAATAAATTAAAGTCGAATTAAACATGAACGTACCTGACTTCTTATAAAATTCCATTTTGTTACGGATATTGCCAAATCTTCCTGTGCTGGTTTTGAAAGCGCATCCTTGTCGATTTTTTCGCTCAGGAAGTTCGAAAAAGTAACGAAAATTGCACAGAAAATTGTAGAACCGATAAATATAAGTAACAGTATTCGTATGTATTGCGAAATTCTGAGCATTGTTCTTCCGACTTTTTCGGCGACAGAATGTGGCAAGTGTTAACCGAAGCATATCGGCACTTGGTCGTGACTGTGTTCTTGTTCTTCGCGGAGTCGCTTTTCCATTTTGAATCACAAATCGCTTAAATGAAACGAAATTATTCGTAAGTTAAGACACATTATTTAAGTGTCTCTATAAGAATACGCTGAAATGACGCGAACTTTTGTTGACAGTATAAAGACTAATGAAATATAACAAGATGAAGAATGAAGGGAAGATGTTTGAAAGAAAGAAATAAGTCTGACCAATGGCTGAGGCTACCTTTGACGTGTGCTGTAACTGATCGTTGATCTCGATTGTCTTCTTGGTTAGCCAAGTGTGACGGTCCTCGGTGGAATAAGTTGCGAACATTATTCTCAGCGATGATAAAATATTACCCACTTGTTATTGTTTCAAATAATTATAAGAAATAAATAAAATTTAATATTCTAAAAAAAAAAACAGACGCGTTATTACGTATTCAAATCTTCATTTCTATAAAAAATTGTGAAACAATACACAAGATTATTTCATTATTTTATTATTTACATTATCATGTAAATAAAATAACAATGTTGTTTTAGTTTTCTTTATTTCTATACAATATTTTAAATATCATACATAAGGTAATGCTAGGAATTTTTATTATACTCTAATTTATATGTCTTTTAAAATTAAAGAATTTTTTATTTTAAAATTATATACACATGTATATACCTGTTACATTTTCTGTAAGAACTTGTAATAAACTTCAATATTTTAATGCGATTTAAATAGTAATTATTAATCTATATTTCATTATAACTGTTAAAAGTACTTAGTTGTACACATAGTTTTTACATTTGAATTTTAAAATGTATTTCTATTTGTGTTTAAACGTTATAACTGAAATTATGGTCGATATTATTCTTAACCAATAAAATTTTTTGAATATGAATTTAAATCATAGCTGACAGACACACATTATTCTACTAGTTACGTACTAACATATAAGCACTTATTTTTATTATATACAACTTTGAATAATTGTATGGAAAAAATTGAAACAGATTTTTTGATTTTTTAAAAGATTGAAGAATATATTTATTATTAATTTAAGCAAAACGTTAAAAATGATTGAGCCACCTCTGTTTACACCTATAATGTATGGTTGGCGCTGTAATGCAAGGAAGCTGAAGGCAAGGAACTCCTTCCGTTTTCGTTTCTAGGTATAGAACGAAAATATAATTTGCACACGTGTAAAAATGGTAGCATCTCAGAAAGTTATTAAAAAACATAAAGAATCGGTGAAAATATTACGTAATTTAAAGAAAAAACAGAATGTAAAATTAAAGTCAAAAATAAAGTTGGTTAAAGTGAGTAAAAAGAAACTGAAACAAAAGGGAAGTACAAATTTGAAAACTGTACAGGTTAACACTTCCGAAAATGAGAATTCACTTAAAGACATAAAATCAATAAGTGAAAAAATAAATAAAGGGATTAAAAAAAAAACAGATTCCATAAAAAAAAAAACAGATTCCATAAGAAAATTAACACATCGACAATCTCAAAAAGAAAGTACTTCTGAATCTAAAAGTGTTCTACATACAGAAAGTAAGGACCACGTGGATAAGAAGAAATTGAAAAATGAAGCATCGAAACAAAGATTCGGAAAGAAATGTTCTACAAAAGTTAATACACAAAACAATAAAGAAAGTACTTCACATTCAAATATAATTTTGAAAACTACAAAATTGCAAAAGCAGAAGAAGGTAACTAGTGACAATGACCAAATCAATACAGATTACTTAAATTTGAATGATATATCAAGAGAACACATATTACAATGTATTAACGCCATTTTTCATTTGACTGAAGAACAATTAAGTAAAAATGCATTGTTTGATGATGAGAGCCAACCTATGTTTATGCAAGTAACATGCATCAAAGTACCTAAAACTCCACAAAGATGTATGAGAATGTAAGTTCGTGTTTATATTTTAAATATATATCTATTATTAAAAATAAGTAAAAAAATATATTTTTGTATATATTTTTAATTATATTTATTTTGTAATTTATTATACATATGTACCATATATGAACCACAAATGATTATTCATATCTAATCTCCAATAGGTCCTTATGAGGAACCATGATTACACTTTTAAGAATGATGTATATTTCCATTTTTGATAGTTAGTAATTTTAGCTTTGATAAAACATTATTGATTACTTACTTTATTTTTCAGATTATTACCTTACTCATTAGTGTCGACAAAGGATGAAGTAGCACTTTTTGTTTGTGATCTTCAAAGAGGTAGAAGAAAAGATTATGAGCCAACAATAGAACATTATGAAAATTTATTACACAAACATGGTTGTACAAGAGTAAAGAGTATAATACCACTGAATCAAGTGAAAACTGAATATGATCAGTATGAATTAAAAAGGAAGCTTGTTGGCAGTTATGATTACTTCCTTGTAGATGGAAAAATAGCTGGTCACTTATCTCATTTATTGGGAAGAGATTTTTATAAAAAGAGAAAATTGCCAACATCTGTTAAAATGCACAGCAAAAACTTGAAGTCTGAAGTGGAATATGCTTTGAGGCATACTGTCATGCAAGTGCATTCTTTTGGTGATACACATGTAGTTCAAATTGGACATACCTCTATGAAAAAAAAAGAAATTTTAGAAAACATATTAGCAACATGCAATTATTTATCCAAACATTATCCTGGAGGTTGGGCTAATATTCGTTCTGTCCGTATAAAAACAACCACTAGTGTTGCTCTTCCTATATATACAACATTAAGTAAGTTTTAATATTGCATCTAATTTTAATTATACTCAATTTTTATTTCTTATTTTAATTATATTCAATTTTTGTGAGAATTATAGTTTAAGGTATACATTGAAGTTTGTTTTCTTTTTAGAAAATAAAAGCTTGGTTGATGTACCAGTGGTACAACCTAAGAGACCAAAAGCATATAAGAATGTATCAGGAGAATTGACTACTAGATCTGGTTTTACTTCTGTAACTGTTACTCCTGAAGGAAATATTATGGTTGAAAAGAAGGAAAAGATAAAGAAATAAAATTCCACAAGTAAAAAGTTGTATTTTTTTGTATTACTTTATTAAATCTAGTAAACAAAGTTAAAAAAATTATTCTTCTACTTATTATTAGGTTTACCTAAACATCTTGTTGTATTTAAAATTTTTAATTGCATTTTATGTACCTAAAAAATATTTGTGTTCTAATTAAACGTTAATTTTCTTAATTTAAATACTTATGAAGAGAGCAAAAACAATATATGGAATTAATAATTAATATAAAATAGTTTGATCTTTCTTAGAAATACTTTGGTACCCATTTGCTGGTATTGTTGACATGTTATTTAATATACCATTTGTATTTTGCATGTATTTATATGTATTAACAGCATTTGTAACAACTTCAATCTCTTGAAAGTTCCGAAGTCGTTGAATATCTTTATCTTTCCTCAAAGTAGTATTGGGCAGTTTTCTTAATTTTACAACTTGATTGGGGTCAACATTTAATTCTTGACAACATAACTGAGCTAGATACTGAAATGTTAAATCACTTTGAGGTAATTCAATCTCTATGAAATCTGGATCAGGAGCATCAGCAACACGAATCTTCAACACCAATTCTAAAATAAAATATATGTAAATTTAACGATTGTTTCATTATTATGCTGTTCAATTAATACTTACACACAAAAAGTAATATACTAAATGATGTAATATCTTACCATCTTCATATAGACCATTGTTTCTTACTCTAGAAGTTCCTGAATTTACTGTTCCATGTACATAATCATTTTTTATGTATTGAGGCATAACATTAGGTACCATTGATTCGTTTAAAACTTCTTCTGTATCAGTTCTCATTTCTAACATATGACAAATTTGTATATTGCTACAAACATGCGCTGGCTCTTCTTCAAGTTCAGATTTTATTCTTTTATCTGCACCATTCTTTAAAAGTAAGGCAGCTGTATCTATAAAGCCCTTCTTACATGCCCAATGTAAAGGAGTCCTTAAAGGTAGAACATTCATTAAATTATTATCTTGACATTTCAAGTATACAGTTATTTAAATTTATTATATATAGTTAAGAAAAGGTATTGTATATATACACTAATACATTTACTAGTGTGCATTTTATGACTAATAGTTACTACAGAAGCATAGAAATATAATAAATTATAAAATAAATACCATCCGTTAGCATCTCGCGCATTAACATTAACACCTAAATTAAGTAATTTTTGAACAGCATCTGTATCATCAACACAAACTGCTGTCCTTAGACACTCTTCAAATTTTTTTTCATTTCTCATATTATTATAATTCATGAATAAGTCTAACAGTTTTGAATTTACCAAGGATATTTCGAAACGTACACAAACAATAATGTTACCTGATACAAGTCCAGTTATCATATAAACGGGATCGCTATGTAAGCGCCGCAAGTGGTAGCTTAAAAGAGCTTTACAATAGTACTGTATAAATTGAACCAAATGTTTAAATCTTTTTATACCAAAAATTTTGTTGGTTTTAATCTAAAAATGTTAAAAACTATATTAAATGTTTCATTTATACTAAATGGAAGTTGTTTAAGTTGTCTAA